TCAGTCATCTCTCCAGTCAGCCTTCGAGACTTTACCGACTGCTGGTCTCGGCATATTGGATCGACTGCCAATGGAACTGATGTGGCTGACCCTCCACGAGTTCGACATTCTTTCCCTTTTTCGCTTCCGTCAAGTGAACAGGCAAGCTCGTATCATATCAGCTGGTCTCCGTGAATATAACCTAGTCTCCAGATATGGGCTAGAGGGCCTACGAGGGCTGTTGCGCGCAAGGCTTGCTTCTCACTTCACTATAAGGGACCTTTACAAGCCCCTCATAACCGACAAATGCTCGACCTGTGGGGAGTTTGGAGGGCACTTGTTCCTCCCCACTGTAGAGAGGTGTTGTTTCCATTGCCTCCTGAATCTTCCTTTCTACCGTGTGTTCGCCCTATCGACTTTCGCCAAACTAGTAAAGATGTCTCCAGGTCGACTTGATCGTCTCTTGGGACAAAAGTTGCGAACCGTACCCGGCATCTATAATATGCTGGAAGCACCATCAAGAAGGCCAAAGCATCTAATAGCTATGGATAAGGCCATAGAAACGTTGGTCGCCATTAAAGCCATCGGACAAGACGCGATTTGCAGATTAATAATCAGTAGAGAGCAAGGAAACAAACGTTTTATGGCGGCTACGGCATACCCGTATTATAATTTGAAGGACGCCAAGCTTGAGCGCGGTGTCAGCTGCAAAGGCTGCCAAATTCGCTGCCAACGTCGCTATGGTGGTTTCCTCCTTGAAGAACCGTTTTTCACGGCACGAGGCTTCTTGTCTCATTTCTCACAGTGTATAGAAGCACAACAGCATTGGACTGCGAGCGAAAAAGGAACACGACCTGTTGATGAGCCACCAATTACTCGTTATTGCGGCTATTTCAGTAAGCTAGGTCCTGATGGGCTGCCTGCTTGATATTTAGAACGACTTCTCCGGTTCCTCTCTCAGCGCACGAAATACATTCTCCTAGTCTGCTTATACTCAATGTTACTCTAGTACGATAGGTTGTTGCACTTGGTAGTCCCAGATTTCCCAGGCATGCATGCCGGAAGCTAGTTACCTAAAGCAACAAGAAAATCATTGAATATTAGATATACGGTAGGACATCCTCCTAGACACAATAGGGAGTATGCAACGTTGCATGAAATCTCAATAGCTACTGTCTATGAACTTGCCACACGGTCAAGACCGCCTAGATACTATCAGCAAGCAGCCTAGGAATGGTTGAGTATGGGGGTCTGTGAGATCAATTGAGACTACCTGAGTTGCATGAAGGCAATTGGAGGGGCATTAAATCGCAAGTGCCTCGGCCGCCTGTAAAGGAGGGCGAAATGTCCGGTGACAATGTAACTAGCCCCTTAGAGTGGTAATATTCCTAGGTTCTGGCTATATGTATTGGTGCTAGATTCCTCTACGGACCTGGAAGATCTAGGAATAAATTGATCACTCTATCAAGCCCTAGGCTACCCTTCTTCCTAGCCGTAGGATCGCTATCTATTCACTCTGGGAGCGATCCGTCTGGCACAACGGCACCTGTCAGGAGGCCTATACTTATGGGGAGGTAATAGACTATTGTTGTTGCGCGAAGGTCTCCAAAAACACCTTCCTACGTACTACCTACTATATACAAGAACAATCTCCTTGTTTTGAGGCCGTATAGCAGTATCCAACTGAGCGTTGCATGCTTCTTTCTGGGTTCGCAATTGTATATCCATGTTCGACGCTCTACTTAAGCCCCGATATCTTGACACATTCGCACAGGTATCCGGTCATTGTATTCTTGCACATGATGAATAGTCTAATATGAATACTACTAGCCTTGAATGCCCAACGCGTATCATAAAGAGGCACTTACAGCGACTGGAAGGGATTCGTGGGTAGACACGGAAACAGGCTGGGTTGATCTTGGAGCATCATCTTGAAAGGCAACTGGGATCTACGTTTGGCTTCAGATATTTCGCTCAACAGGAATGCCTGCTAGAGCCGGCTTTTAGAGACGAATAGAGACCTACTATGGTGGACGTTTGCTATTACCTAAAACTTTTTTTGGTGAGTTTTACGATCGATTCTAAGGCTGACTGAAACATGTCTCACATGGTACCGGGAGCCTGGCAGAATGTAAAAGCGGTGAGCAAGGATCATCGCCGGTTGTTAGCAGGCGGCAGTTAGAGAAAAGTCTTCTAATAGCTAATGAGTCGAAGTCAAGGATAACGTTGGTGTTTGATCGGGTCGTGCCATAGACTGCGTTTCTCGTTGGACCATCTGTAGGTACTGGGCTCAGCTTATTAATATGGACCTTCTGTTTATTGTCCCCCGCCGTTCTATAATTCTTCAAGCCCTTGCTTGACTTGCCGTATTCTTATCGTCCTCACATTAAAAATAACAACAGTTATGGAACCCCCTAGACTCATATCAATGGAGGTCACCATGAGTGGCAGATGCGACTGTTACTACCGCATCCTTGCCGACCGAAGCGTAAAGTACGTCACCGTCAAGGCCGACACCCTCAGCGCTGAAGCGTTAGACGATATGTACCTTAACTTTCAGAACGTCCTCCCTCCTCTCCCCTACTACGAAGACACTTGGAAGTCAGCGTGTGTCACTCGTAATCCCTCATCCGGCCAACTCGAGGTGGAGTTATCATCGGCGGGTTTGCCCGGCGTGCAAACAAGCTGGCATCCGCGAATAGTTGACTCTCTTGATATCGAGCGCACCAAGCACCTCACTCTATTGGCGGAGGAATGCAATGGAAGGCGAGAGAATCCGCCGCATCAGAGAGAATGATTGCCAAGATGGCGCGCTTCCCATGGGAGGTCCAGTATGTGGAAGCCGAAACGCGCATATACAAGCTCCTAGCGGGAAAGGGCATTGCTCCCGAATTCCTTGCCCACGTCCACGAGGGGGGTCGGATCATCGGGTTCCTCCTGGAGATAATTGGAAAGCTTTAGCTTTCCCGAGCACGTATTGGCAAGGACAATCAAGGGCGAGAGAAAGCGTAGCTTAAATATATATAACGGTAACCCTTAAAATTTTATAAAAGTAGTTGTTTTTTTTATTAGTTTAAACAGACTTTATAACAGTTTTATTAGTTAAAGCTTATTTAAAGCATTAATTATAATATATTTATATAATAAAAAATTATATAGTTTATGTTTAAATTAAAAAATTATATAATATAAAAAGCTTATATAATATTAAAAAAATAAAACAAACAGTTAAATAGTTAAATAGTTAAAGTTATAAAGCTTATAAAACTTAAAAGCTTACTAAATATATATAAAGTTAAATATATTATAATACAATTTAAAATAGCTTAATTTAGCTACTTATAAAGTTAAAAGCTAAAACTTCTTTTGCTAAGCTTAAAATTAAAATATTTTATATTTTAATTTTTATTATATTAAAATAGCAAAGTTTACTATCAAAGGTAAAGCTTTCTATTTTAGGGACAACTTGCTTGGCACTACAGAGTACTTATTCCGGACGGGCGGAATGCCGAGCCATCCGATCTGAAGGCTTGCCAGACGGCTTTGCGGCGCTTCCACATGCTAGGACTCGTGCACGGCGACTGCAATAAGTATAATTTCATCATTCGCCCGGACGGGCAGGCCGTCCTTATTGATTTCGACCACTCTATGCCTTGCACTGACCCCGCCCTGCTGGAGGCGGAGATGGCAAGTTTGGAAGCACAGCTGGCTGAGACGACGGGTCGTGGTGGTGGATTTATGTCTTTTGATGAGGAAGATAGTGACGGGGAGTCGGGAGAATAAGGAAGTAGGCTATCAACCATGTTTAATGATCTCGTTATAAGTACAGAAAGCAATAGAGGGCCTAGTAAGAAGTATGTGCTCGCTGAGAGGTAACTTGTCTAAACCCGATTTACTACCGTAGTTGCCTAGCTTGAACTTTTAACTTGAGCTTTTGTTATAGAGTTCTTCAGAGATCTTAAGACGTACCTACTAACGGAATCTAGAATGATAAGATACTCAAGATTGCTAGTCTGTAATTCGAGGCCGTAGTGTACTAGCAAAGGTTCACGGCCACATTTGTTCGAATATCGTACCGCTCCGAGATCTACCTCTGTGTCATAAGACCACACCGTGATGCGGAACGAAACTATCACAGGGCGTATTGACAAAGAGGACTGTACCTGTATTTAGCTAGATAGCATCTAGGAAGGTAGTTTGTTTAGGGGGCCTTGTGCAACAACAACAGTCGTTGCCTACCCCTAGCATAAGGCTCCTGGCACTCTGCACCGGTCTGGATATCGTAGCAGTCCGTTAGTAATGCCCGTATTAGTCTTAAGCCTCACTAGTTAGGAATCGTACCGGAGCGTATGTCGAGCCTGTTATGTAAGTATTACTGCTATTATTGGGAAGAGAAAATTATCACTCCTAGTTCTCGCCGCCTGTAATTGTAACTCCTAAGTATACCTGTGTCCCCAATCTTGTTTCAGGAACATGTTCGGGTTACCGAATTTTGTCACAGTCTATACTATTAGTGATACCAAAGTCGACTTATTGTTATTCCACAAGGAGCGAAGTTCTATCCAAGTAGGCCAGTCTTGCCTTGCCATCTTTTAAGTACCTAGAGGTTTAGTTACTTCCGTGATGACTTTCCTACGTAATCTCATACTAAGACTAATGATGAGGCCTGCCCTGCCTTACTAGGTAAACCTACTTATATATGTAGTTGTCTTCATCAAGGTGCTAGATTGAGTAGGGATGGAGCTCTCGGTTATATCTACTAAGTGTTCCTCTAAGTATATACGGCTACAAAAGGCAGGGGTTGAATACCCTTGTAAGTGCTAAGCTAAACCGTTTACTACCCCTGGCCCTGCCATGGCCTTTTCGAACAGTATTTGGACACGCTAAGCCCAAATTGTCAACCGACATAGAATATTCCTCTGGGAGAACTCAATTCAATCGTCAAAAAAGTTGGCCTTGGATGCGATGGAACAGCACACAGCCAGAACACAATCTCAGATGACGACTAAATCAGCATCAACGGCGAGATGGCCGAGCGGTTATGGCGGATGACTCAAGAAAAAGTTCTTACCCGTCTAAACGGGCAGCATTCATCTGGGGCAACCCGCGTGGGTTCGAATCCCACTCTCGTCACGATTGAACATATTTTTGCTGCTACTCGATAATGATTGCGGTTGGAATGACTACGAACATTCACGGGGTATATGCAAAGGGATCGTTCTGCGATATAATGCTGTGTGGTTGTGTGATTGAATAGATGTTGCACACCTCTTTTTTTTTCCTGTCTAGAAACAAAGGCTCATTATCAGAACATGGCTATTTGCTATCTATACTAGGTTGGAAAGAAGGCGAGCGGCTCTCGCGGATTGCATAGGTAGGTATTGGAATCTCTGCTCCGAGTTGTATTAGGGCGGGCGTGAGTTGGAGTGGTTGCGCCGGACTGTCCTCGGAGGGGAGGCTCCGCCGGAGTCGTCGGTCGCGTCGCCCGGTGACCATATGAGACTGCCGATCGCTTGTGACCGCTTGTGGGCTCCTATGTTGGCATTTACTGTATCTCCATGTCTGTCTACACTAGATAAGGGGTCTCGATAACGGCATTGCTCTCCTGCTTCTTCTAGGTAGGCCATGCACCGATCATCATATCGTTCGTCTTGGGCATACTTGGATTTAGGATGAGGTCAACATACATGGTGGATGAGCTAGGTTAAATGAATGCCATTCCCAAAAACCGGGTCAGAGACCTACAGTATGCTCCTGAGCTCTGTCCTGAGTATTTAATAGGTGGACTGGGATGGAGAACGGAGATAAGATGCCAAGACTTGGTGCAATCCATCGATCCATAGGATGTTGTGATTTCGTGAAAAGATGTTGCCATGCGAAATAAGGCGCGCGAACGGTGTAAGCTAGGGACTTAGATGTGTACTGTAGCGCAGGAGGTGGGCTGGCGCTCGCAATCCCCAATCCCTGTATTGGGAAAGTAAGTGTGAGAGTTGTAGGTCCAGCGCGGGCAAGTAACGAGACGATCACTTTCAGTGAGCAGATTGGCAACTCTGTTGATCTATTCCCTGTCTGTTCCTAACGCCTCATCGAGATCTTCGCGCGCAGTCCGAACTTGCCTGTTCGAGGACGGCGACCGATGACATCGCAGCACACCGGACCCCGTTGCTTCTTCACTATCAGTCGGTCTGCCATACAGGGCCGTAGTAGGACCGGCTTATGCGTCCTCCTGAACTCGGGTAAGATTGGCGAGGAGAGCGAACGAGAAGAAATGTCTCGGGTCATCGCAGCGAATGCCTGAATATTTCGCGCTGCACAAACGCCACATGTTTGTGTCTTGTCAATTACTTACCGGCCTAGTACATACAGTTGAGTTGTGTACGGTATGGAGTATGTAGGTAAAAAATAATGCATAGAATTCAACCTTTCAATCTTTCTCGGTTGCTTGACCGGTCTCCTGACTAGTAACCAACTAGTATCGCATGACAATGACTAATGTGGCTTTTCATTGGCGGGCCTGGAGATCTGCGTACGCGTACAACTGGTAGTTTCGAGTTCTATTCTCTGTAGCGGCATAGTTCCTCAAAAAAATTAGAAACCCACATGATTACCTCCTTAGTATGCTGTACCTACAAGTAGTAATCCCTGAAAGAATGGTTGACATGATCAACTCTATGTATGGAAGGTATTCCAAGACTTACACAACATAACTACATAGCACACAGCCGCGTTTAACATCAGGTATTCATCGTCACCCTTTAATATGAAACATGGAACTTAACGAACAGCCATTTTAACAACCGACTGCAAAACGTGGAATGACAGGGCAAGACAGGGGATGATTGGCTACTGATCGCACTCCGATTCGTTAAACTACCAGATTGGGCATAGCGGCTAGCGACTGTTAAAGACCCCATAGTGGACCTCAGCGTGTTCGTCAGCTGCTGTTTCACCAGCCTGCTTCCCGCTTAAAATATTAAGCCACCTACCACCTACAATGACGACTGCAGATCTATCTTTATAATAGAAATCTGGGGCTCTGCTGGGGCTGTTTATAATGTCTAAGCAAGAGAGGAAGGATGGGTACCGGGGTGGGATATGGTTGATCAATTAATCAAATTTATACATACCTATGTACGTTGAACACTCACCTAGTCAAGGACCCTTCCCATACATCACTACCCACCTCCCTACCTACCTACATAGGCATCCTATCGGCGATCCAAGTCATGGCTTATCCGGGTTGACCTCCTCGATGGAAGCCATGATAGGTTCGAGAATGCCTAGGGAGCAATGCCTAACCATGCTGCACTACCCACACACAACTCGCTACTGCTGCCGCTGCCCACTGCGCAAAGTCCATCAAGTACCTATAGTAGTTGCAAACGTGTGATGGTACATGTGATGATACATGTAGAACGTACACAGGTCGCCAGCCTCCCCAGGCAGGACCCAGGATGGATGTAAGTGCGGACATGGGTGCCAGCACTAGACACGCAAGACATGCTACACATCCATGATGTTGTTACGCAAGAGGGAATAGGGAGATGTACAGACACTACCACTAAGTAAGAAATAGAGGATAAGTAGACCCGTTTCTCTTCTCCTCAGATCTTCTTTCATTTTACTATATATCTAATCTGCCACTTAGGTTGGTCAGGTAGTCGGTGTTTGTTTACCTGTACTAATCATGTATATAGTAGCACTTGCACTTGCGCTTGTTCATTTCTCCTAGCTTGTCTGCCTGCCTGCCTGCCTGCTACTCATTAACTTACCTCACCTCCTCCTACCTATTTACTTAGACTAGGGAGGTTGCCGTCTGGTCTGTCTGTCTGTCTCCTTCATTCCTTCCTCGGTGACTTGACTTGACTCATCTTTCTTGCTTGGCCTCCATTTTGTGCACGCATCTTTTTTGCCGTACTCGTCCACTCATTTACTTAGATACCCAATCTACTCTCGTCTCTCCTTTCCGATATGCCTCCCGTTCGGTTCTCCTCGCTCCTCGTCGCAGCAGCTTGTGCTTGTGTCCCGGTGCTTGCGGATTTGCCCCCGATCACCGATGCCGTGGGCTATAATAGCTGGGCATATGGCGACCGGCCCAACCAAACTTACTATTCTTCTAGCCTCGTGTCGCCGCGCTTTCTTATAAATGTGTGGGACAAGAATGCGACGACGGCGGGATCACACATCTTCATGGCCCCGGCCAACCCCGGCCAGAAGGCGAGCCCCATGATCTTGTCGAGCAAGGACTTGAGCCTCGTCTATGCCGATCCCAACTGGAACGGAGGCACCGACACGAGAATGCAGTTTCACGATGGAGACCCGTATCTGACATTCTGGTCGGGCTTTGACCAGAAGGGACACGGCACCGGAGGTGGTGTCATGCTCGATCCCAACTATCGAATGTTCAAGAACCTTACCACTACGGGACTCGTCACCGGCGCCGATAGCCATGACTTCACTGTCACTAGCGACGGCGGCGCTATCATGAACAACTACCACGAAATCTATACGGACCTGACGTCCATTGGCGGGCCCGTTAACGGCAGCCTGTTGGACTGCGCGTTCCAGGAGGTCGACGTCGATACCGGCGAGATCCGCTTCACCTGGAAGGCGACGGATCACTTTAACCTGACCGAGAGTCTCGCGGATTCATACTCGGACACCGCGGGCGGCTTCGATTGGTTCCACATGAACGCCATCTCGAAGACGGCCGCCGGGAATTATCTGATCTCAATCCGGCATCTTCGAACCGTGGCCCTGATCAACGGCACCGACGGCAGCAGGATCTGGCAGGTGGGCGGTGTGAACAACTCGTTCAAGGACCTTAGCGACGGTAAGGCCACCAACTTTGCGTTCCAGCACGACGCCCGTTTCACCGACGACACCGAGTCGCAGATTACTCTCTTCGACAATCATGCCATGCACGTCACTTCGCCCACGGCCGGCTGCACCCAGGACTGCACCCGCGCCGTGCGCATCGCTCTCGACTTCGACGCCATGGAGGTGAAGCTCGTCTCCGAGTTCTATCATCCCCAGAGCGTCCAAGCCTGGGCCCAGGGTGGCTACCATCTCCTCCCGAACGGCAACGCCCTCATTGGATGGGGTGTCGTGCCCGCCATGACCGAGTTCGACGCGGCCGGCAATGTGGTCATGGACGTCCAGATCCGCCCCTGGAACACCACGGAAGGGGGAGGTGGTCCTCTGTACCGTGTCTACAAGTTCGATTGGGTTGGCCAGCCGCTCTGGCAGCCGAGCTGCGCTTACGTCGATGGGACCGCCTACGTGAGCTGGAACGGCGCGACCGAGGTTGCGTCTTGGGTATTGGTGAGTTGATGCCAATGGGTTCATCTACGAGAAAATCGCTAATACAGATTTTAGTACGGTGGTTCTTCGCCACTATCGATGGACCAAGTCGCCAAGGTGTCGAAGGCCGGTTTCGAGACCGCAATCCCCACACCCGATAATGTCGCCTTCATCCGGGCCGATGCCTTGGATGCCAACGGCAACGTCCTCAGTTCTAGTAATGTTGTCGACACCTCAAGCGGTGACTCGGTTGGATCTCTGATTAGGCCATGAATGACGTGCGGGCGTGCGGAGGGAACAGTGCCGACCAGGTATATCGTGTCGAGCTCGGCGGAATAGAGACTTAGATAAAGACGATAAAATGGCGGATTTGGCCAAAATGGCGACGATACCCCAGTCGACAGGGCCACAATGCTATGTCCCATTAGAGGGCATAGAGGGCCACTTCGTGGCAATGCGATCGGATAGAGGATGGTGACCCTCCAGTCTGGGTAACCGTACGACTTCTACAAGCGAACCCATAGAGTGATACCTAATTTGCGGCAATCATTGAAGGTTGCAGTCGTTCTAGTATATCCTTGACCTTGTGTCTATTATATCACACTTGTATATAGCTGAAGCCTATGGCACATGCACAATCAAGCAAGCATTGCGAGAGACGGCCTAGCAGTTAAATTATATCGGACGTTCTAGTGCCTAAGTTCCCGCCTAATCATCGTTGCCACTTGGTGGCAAACCCTCGGTCCCTCGACCGTAGTCCTCACCATACCTTTTGCCGTCGACGATGACGGGTTTCGTGTCCTGCAGCACGAAGACCATTCTCGCCCAGC